TCATGGGCGGCTTCTTGGGCTTGGTCGAGCTTTCGTGCGCCGTCGCTGCGGCCTGCTGGCGTCGCTCGATGCCGGACGTGATGGAGCCTGCAGTGGCGTTAGCATCGTGATATCCTCCCCGGGTCGCCAGATGATGCGCGTACCATAGCCAGAGGGCTGCATCGCAGCTTGCGGCCGTCGGCGCGCCGAGTCGCTGGGCGTCGCGCTCTGGGTGGGCGTGTCGCTGCCGGTGCCATAGGTGCTGCTGCGGCGCGACGTGTCGGGCGACGGCTTCGCTTTACCCGCGGCGGGCGTGCGATCTTCCATGGTGGTGTCGCTGTGCGAGGGCGCTGTGAGGTTGGGCAAGGGCAGGCTGTCAGACTATCTGTAGTTCAACCTTGTTTTGGGAGCTGCTGTGGTCACAGCTCAAATGCTCAAACTACGTGGCTCTCCGCACAAGTCACGATTCTGCCGCCGTACGATGACAGCTGTTAGGCAAGGGCAAAGATGCATTACCGCGCCCGTCGTGCCCCTCTGGAGTGTGCGTGTGGGTGGGAGCAAAGCTGCAGATGACCCTGTTAGACGTCCCATTCCCCGGCGATCCATGACTTTAGCGCCCAATGTCTCACCCTGCTCCAGATAAGATAACCACTGCCCAGGCAAGCTGCACGTAATTCACGGCTTCCGCGGCAACTGAATGTCAATGTCAAGAACCGCCTAGAACAACGGTCGCTGTTAGTGCTATTCTGCAATGCTGAAGGTGGCGGTGCAAGCATGATGTCATCTGAGCTGTGGCTGGAGAAGTAGTACTAAGGTAGTCTCCTGCACCCCAACATCCCAATCCTACACCCTCCCAAGACACACGACATAAGAAAAGACATCTGCTGCTACTAGAACAAGGCGCGAACGCCCAGATAGCTAGGTCCTTTGCAGTCTAGAACAACGAGCATTTCGATATCCACGCCTGCATGCGGCTCCACGCACTAGTGTCATCAAAGGTTAGCGTTCAGCCCAGCTCGAATGTCACATGCGTGTCGTCGGGCACGTGTACCACCCTTGAGCTGGCAAATCTTCCATCGGCATCTGGTCCTACAGTGCGGAATCGGTTCGCCAGATCATTAATCGAGATGTAGCAGCTTCTTATACTGGACCGCTGTAGAAGCTACGGCACTAGTCCGCCTCATCGTCTATGATGCTGCAGCCCTGTCCAGGTGGAGACGTGAACCCCTCATCCGGCACTAGGCATGTATACCAGTCGTGTTGCAGTTCACAAGACATCGATGTATGATCAGACTTTCTATCTCTATCTAGGTAGAGGAATACGTTGCCTCGGGATGTATCCAGTTGTCAACAGTTAATAGCGCGTATTCAGCAACACCTGCTTAAATCGAAATCTGGCCACGCCTGGTGCCAGTAGCGCAATGCGCCAGTACAGCCATAGATGCAGCCACAGCTGGGGCACACTCAGCCGCACTCAACCAGAATCTGGATAATGCTTGAAAAGGCCGGCCTCCCACATGTAATGACTGGTTTCTGCCAGCTAACCTCGGAAGCCAACCCCTGACGTCTCTCTTTACTTCCTGTCGTCTGGATGGTAATGAGATATGGACCTCCTGAATATCTTCCTCGTAACCACGAGCGTTTGTGCATTCGCCTACACAGTTTATTTTGTCTACTTGGACAGCGCACGCCTACGGGGCGAAATTGTCGAAGAAGCTAAATCAAGGAAGCGTGCCTGGCATCTCCGAGTGGGACCGGTTGTCTGCTCGATACTGGCTATAATTGCCTTTGTTCTTATACTGTTACCAAGGAACAGTAGATCTGAAGCCTGTTTGCCAGAAAACAACGAAATCAATCCGGATGTTGGGGGCATTGGTGTCCTGCTTGGCCTTTTTCTACCTTGTCTTGTACTCCTTGGGGTACTAATCTTGGGTCACTTTACAGCACATACCTCAGGTGCGAAAGAGCTTTGCATGGCTCAGTTTGCGAGTAAGTTGCGAAGAGCAATGAAGCGTGTTTCGGGTTTAACACAGCATAGACTTGCTTTATCTCACAATCAATCTTGCCAAGGAGATGAGAAGATTAAACGCTCAAGAGCTTGGAATTGCCATATCCAGTGTTGATGCGGTCAGTGCCTCGATATCCATGGCCTTCTCGGATAAAGATGTGCTCGCTGCGCGGAAGCTGGTCCTTCTTGGATTCTTGACACAGCTCGCTGCATACGGCGTACAGGCTGCGGCTTTCAATCAATACTCGCGGCGCGACAGTTTCCGCTGTGATTCCTCTACAACAAATCAGGCATTGCCGCAATCCTACTCGACATTCTACTGGGTTTACTGGTCCCTCCGCGTGGTAACATCGATACTCCCAATCCCGGTAGCCTATCGTCTCACGTCGGACTTGAACAAGATTGAACATAAGAACAATAATACACAAAGCTCACGAGTCAAAGCCACAGCACTATGGAGGTCTCTACCCGCCACTTTAGCGACAAGTTACCTGATCTACGGGTCGTTCGTACTACTCCATGGACTATCTATCTACAACATTTTGCGCGGAACGAACACTATCAAACAGTCATGGCTTGCCTTGATGACCGAGTGGGGCCAAAGTGCCAACGCCATAATCGCCATATTTGCCGTCGGTCATGTCGCATACCACATCTATAGGCTGTTCGTTGCTGAGAGCAGGAATAATATTGCACAGACTCCTGGGCTCAGTGGGCAATCAATCAGTGAGGCCTATCCCCCAACCGGGTGGAAGGCATGGGAGTACTGGCCTTGGAACGCGAAATGGTGGCCTTTTCATCTGGAATTAGACTACTCGGATCATCTCTTGGTAGACGAAGGTATACTGCAGAGAACCCTGCAACCGCCTGTCCAACAGACCCCAGAAGTATTGAAAGAGCTTTGGGAAGACATGATGGATGGCTTTACTTGGAATAGGCCTGACGACATTGTCGATTGTCTGGATCGAGGAGTCCCATTGGATATTTGCGATGACGCGGGCAACTATCCAATCCATCTGGCCGCTCGCCACAACAACACCGATATCCTAATGAGAACACGCTTCAACTTCACCCAGGACTCGATCGAAGGTGACCCTCTGCTTTTCAGTAACTTGGCCTCTGAAACTCCTTTGGAAGTCGCATGCAAGGCAGACAAACTTGAGGCCGTTCGTTGGATTATGGAGCAGCTCCCACAAACCCACCCGCAAGCCAAAGATGCTGTATGTCAAGCTTTCAAGGTCGCTATCGTTGGGGAAAAGGAGGGTATTTTGAGGATTTTACAGCACCTGTGGCCTGAATGGACAACACTGGAGATACAATCACAGTCCGACCGGTTTTCACTACTCCGCTTTGCCATCAACAAGCGCAAAGCAAAGTCTGCCTACCGACTGACAGATCCTAGAGTCGTATTAGAAAGGCAGCCAAATGCGTACAGGATCTTCGAATTGGGCTGGAAATTGGATCTAGACGAGTCTTCTCTATATATGATCCTGGACGATCGTCAAGGCCCGACATCGATTGTGGACCCGACACAGTTGACTTATGATGTCATTGGCTCTTCTACGCTCGATAATGACGAATCATTGGAGCTTCTTCTTGGCCTGAACGTTGACATCTCTATAATCTTTCGACAATCGGTAAAATTTACAGCGGATCAACATTTCGATCCCGATCGATCAGGCGACATGTGGGCGTACATCCTACTAAAAGGATATACGTTTGAGCTAGAGGATCTAGACTCCATTATCACCTTCTTGTTGGATGAAAGACCTTACCCTGAACATCGAGCGCAATTACTGTACAGCCGTATAAGAAAGGCCTTGATTCATCATGGCGGGCGTGACTGGTCCCAGGTGGTAATGTCAGTGAGGCTTGCCTGGCCGATAGAACTAGAAAGAGATATCAATTTGATCCAGGACGCAGCAATGTTGCAGCGGATGCTCAACGTAAGGAAAAACCATCGAAAGTCGCTTCTGACATATGCGATGAAGCCATATCAACCAAAACAGCAATCACTCGAATGCATGGAGCTTCTTCTGCAATATGGAAGCCATATTAAAGGGTCAGACTTGGCTTATGCACGTCAGTGCGCCTTTGATCGGGACGAAGACATCACGTTCTTCATGTTATTGGCCATTTGGGTTAGACCTGAAGTCAATTCTGACGCCTTGTGGACGGTGTGCGACCCCAGCGACCCCAGCGACCCACCTTCCAGGATTTATACACTGTGCCCACCTTCCAGGATTTATACACTGTGCCAAATTTTGCTCAGGTGTGGCGCCGATCCAACACTGATGGATGTAAACGGGAAAATTCCTCGGGATGTCTTCGAGGGTATGAGTGGTCTGATGATAAGAGCATGGGGTGACGGACCTGATGACCTATACCCGTACACACCAATGGAAGAGCTGGGGAAACAACGCATGGGGAGAGGGATAAAGGAAGACATTTCGGAGGTTATAAGTCTCTTGCAGCGGTGGGAAGACTACCATAATGATCCGAAAAGCGGCAAGCCGTCCGATAGACCAGATCCAGATTGGGAGGCATTGTGTGATCACATCGACGAGTCAAAATGGGCACTACTAATCGAGAAGAACCCCGAGGGCTTCAAGATAGTTGAAGAGCATTGAACCGGTCTTGATGCTGCGTGCCGCCTACCTCTAAGCAATGTTTGTCAACTTGCTCAGATCAGGTACGATGTGGGCGGCACGCAACACTGATGCTCGTGGTTTAGGTTCCTCAGACGACTTGATCAGGGGCCAACATCACCGGTACAAGACTGTGCCGATACGTGTAAGGTCCAACGAGCTTGCAAGAAAAGACTCAGACTATGTAGAGACGAGATGGGATCCGGAGAAAACGTTGAGGTTTCTATCTGTCTAAAGAGTGTATTCCAGAACCATCATGCGTCTCGCGTCGCGCAGACCTTGCCGTTCAGCCCCATCTCCATCCCAAACCAGTACCAGGACTCAACAACTCAGAGCTGAGCCATTTCCAGACCCGCTCATCATCGTCAAATCGCAATCCTCTCCACCGCGTCCTTCATAGCCCTGATCTGCCCCATCAGATCGCTCGCCTCGTTGCTAGTGAGACTGACAGCCACAACCGAGCGACCGACGCCACAAGCCCGTCCCAGTGCCATTTTACTGGGCACATAGACGAACGGCACGTTCTTGTCTTCACACAGGAGTGGAAGATGAAGTGTAATGGCCAGAGGCTCGGCGTCGCTAGCCATGATGATGAGCTCGGAGGTGCCTCGGTTCAACGTTTTGGTTGCTTCATTGGCGCCTTTCGAGATTTGGTGGTAGTGAGTAGCTTGCTGGATCAGATCCAGAAGCTTTTCGGCTAGGGTGGTGTCGGCGATGGGCCAGGCTGCGGATGGCGTAGACATTCTAGCTTTTGAAGGTCGAAAGAAGGATTTGTTTCGGTTAAGCTTGGGTTCACTGCTTGGCTCGCCCGTGGGTTCCTGCGGCTGTTAGCATGCATCTATCTATTGATCATTTCAAACACTTACACTGCCTTGCTCGCCCTTGCAAATGTCGTAGTAAGTGGTGGGGAAAGGTTGTTGGTGAGATGACAGAGGCCGCATTCCGAAATATATCTGCCTGGGGCTTATCGATAACGACGGTATGACACGTTCCCCATCAACCGCGCGCCGTGGACCCTCACCCGCCGACCATGTGAAGCGCGCGTCGACATAACGCGTCGCGCAAACCATGTATCACCTGTTCAAGTCGATATATCTCCATGCGACAAGTAAGGAAGGTACGCTCCCTAGTTCTCGTGCATGTCGAACCACTGATGCTAACGTATCGCAGAGTACTCCGTCCTCCTCCTAGGCCTCGACAATGCCGGCAAGACGACACTCCTCGAGCAAATAAAAGGCACCTACTCGGCCTCGCACCCCAACCTCAAGACCGTTCCCACCGTCGGCCAAAACGTTGCTACCATCGCCCTTCCACCTCCAAATCCACCCATCTACCTCAAGATATGGGACGTCGGCGGCCAACATAGCTTGCGCGGGCTTTGGCAGTCATACTACAGCAGCTGTCACGCCATCGTCTTCGTCATAGACAGCAGCGATGTAGGCAACGCCACCCTAGCCGACATGAGCGCGAACAATGCAGCAAGCATAGAAGACATTGGGCGATTGGACGAGTGCAAGTTGGTCTTGGAGAGCGTGTTGGCGAACGAAGATGCCAGCGGCGTGCCGATATTGATACTGGCGAACAAGCAAGATCGCGAAGACTGCGTCGAAGTTGTCAGGATCAAAGAGGGCTTCGTGAGAAGAGTGTTCGAGGGAGAGAAGGGTGGAAACGTGAGGGACAGCAGAGTACTTCCTTGCAGTGCTCTCACAGGGACTGGTGTGCAGGAGGCGGTGGAATGGCTGTGCAGTAGGATGGCATTCAATAAAGAGGCAAGACCGCCCGTCATGAGGTAGTTGAAGGTCGGCACGAAGTCACGAATATACCCCTATTTTCGAACTACTAATTCAAGGCCATATCGATCGCAAGGTGGAATGTTGGGCCCTCAATCTTATCGCGACTTCAAAGAATATACCTTCACAGCAACAGGATGGCAACATTTTGGATATGCAGCTCGTCCCGCGTTTACGGAAGGATGCGTTGGTCAAGAGCTTCTCCACTCCAGTGTTCGCAAATCTGCATCAACACGCGAGCGAGCAACAGCACTGGAATGTCGTTTCTGACGCTTGAACATTAAGAGGTGGAAAACTCATATTCACACTGACGTTCAAAGATATTTACATTCAAACTAGGCTAAGAGATTGTATCGTAGTCTCATCATTCCACTCAAAGTCCAAACCACTTGAGGTCCTCCGCCTCATGCACCGGCACAGTGTGACCGACATTCAGAGCACTGTAACCCACAAGCTTCGTCCCATCACCATACACCATCTTCGTGTACCCACTCTGCGGAGTGTTCGTCTCGTTCTTCGAGAACGAAACACCCAGCAATCCACTCCACTCCTTCAACTGCTCACCCAAGTTAGGAATCTTGACGAGCGAGTCAGCAGTTCCGTGCCAAGTCGCCATGCGAGGGTAAGAGCCAGAGTAGCCAGGGTACATAGCCTTGACCTGAGCGACCCATTCAGCCTGCGACTTGATAACCTGGCCGTTTGCGCATCGCGGGTCTGCGGTGCTGGGACTGGCACCGGGGCTGCCTGCAACACAGCCTGCGGCGACACCGGAGTAGCAGGATCCTGCGGCGATGACGTCTGGGTAGGTGGCCATCATGACGTTGGTCATCATGCATCCGGAACTGCTGCCGGTGACGAAGACCTTGGTGGGGTCGGCGTTGTACTTCTTGATGGTGTACTGGATCATGTTGTTTAGGCCTTGGTTGTCGCCGCCGGCATCGCGGGAGAGGCCTTTGGCGGTGTTGACTTCCCAGCAGTTGTTGTCTTTCTTGGTGGATGGAAAGATGTTGATGAAGCCTTTTTGCTCGGCGAGGCTGTTGTACTTTGTCGATTGAGCGTAGGCTTCGCCGGTGCCACCGCAGTAGTGCAGCTATCCACTGGTTAGAAAGACGATCGTCACAAAGTGGGTGTGATGGAAAGACGTACGGCGAGGATGATCGCAGGCTTCTCCGCAACCTTGGCAGGAACGTAGATGTTCATCTGAAGGTTGGATGGGTTCGCTCCGAAGTCGTTGACACGAGTAAGGGCGCCATTGGCAGTTGCGCAGAGCGCAGCAATGCTGCCGAGTACTGAGGTGGAGAAGTGCATCGTGAGTGTCGTTAGAGTCCGCAACACACAATTTCCTGCACCCTCCTCCCCTTCTTATACCCACACCACACACTCATCATGCGATCGTCGCCAGAGCTAAACATATTAAGCTTGTTTCCCCGTGAATACTAGCCGACATAAACCTCTGTTAAAGCGTCAATCTAAAAGTTCCGAAGCGAGGAGGCACGGCTATGCGCATGTGAGAAGATGAAGTTCGTGCGTTGTTTCAAAACACTTTTCCTTCTCCAATGACATGCGACTGAAACGGCGTACCTGCTGTTTTGGTCGAGCGATGGAGGTTTTTGTTCCAACTGAGGTTAGCCACCAGGGGAATGATGTGGAGTAACCGCAGGGAATCAGGGATCTTGGATCATTACCCCGGATGAACTCCCGCCACATATATTAACCTACTACCGAGCTTTGCTCCGGCGCACGTAACATGTGGCATTGCCTACTTTCGCATCTACGTCACTTGTCATGCTGGGTGGTGACGATTACCGCGACTGTTTACCGGGCTCGAACACCAGACTATGTCCTTTCTGTGTGCCATTGAGCATTGTGTTATCCATATGCCGTTGCACGTCCCGACTTCCGTTCCTGGAGCGAACATGTATACACATGTTGTATGTTTTGAGGGCCCGTAGGTTGCGCAATAACGGCATTAAAGATGGGGGCTGACATGCGTTGTTAGTACGAGGACGTGCCTACGGCTACATCCGAAATTGTGCAAGACCGAAGTAGAGCAGAGCTGTCACAACAAAAACATGCGTCTCAAAATCTTTGTCCAATTATTCTATCAAACTCGCAAACGCTACTGGGTATCTTCTTGCGCCGAATCTACAAGTTAGGGTGCGCCTCCTTCCACTCCTTGCTGAAAGGGTAGTCAATGTATCCCTTCTCGCTCTTGGGGACGTAGAAGGTGTCGCGGTCGTAAGGAGTAAGCTCGATGCCCTTCTCTATCCGGAAAACGAGATCAGGTGTGCTGATGAAGTAGCGTCCGAACACGGCCACGACATCGCGGTCCTTGTGCTCTTCGACAATCTTCTTCGCATCCTCGGCCTTGAGTCCACCAGCGATGAGCAGCTTGCCAGAGTAGTGGGGCAGTAGAGGGTCGAGAGAGTCGTAGCCCTCAACATCTGCGTTACCAGATACGCGAGCCTCGACAAGGTGGAGGTAGGCCAGATTGAACGCATCCAGTCTCTTCATGATGTCTGTGAACTGGGGGAGGGGGTCCTTCATCTTCATGCCCTGGAACTCGGAGAATGGACTCAATCGGATGCCGGTCTTGTCGGCGCCCACGGCCTCTACTACAGCCTGGGTGACCTCGACACAGAACCTGGAGCGGTTCTCAACAGAGCCGCCGTAGGAGTCTGTGCGCTTGTTGCAGGTATCTTGCAGGAATTGATCGATGAGGTAGCCGTTGGCAGCGTGGATCTCTACACCGTCGAAGCCAGCCTCGATAGCGTTTTTGGCTGCCTGTGCGTAGTCGGAGATACTCTGCTTGATGTCCTCAACGGTCATCTCCTTGGGAGTAGCGTATCCCTCGCCTAGGGATGTTGCGCTGGAAGACTTGATGGTGATATCGTTCGCGGCAGCAAAGTCCTTGTTCGCTACACGTCCAAGGGCCCAGAGCTGGAGATAAATGTACGAGCCCTTCTCGTGGACAGCCTTGGTTACTGGTTTCCATGCGTCGATCTGAGCCTGAGTGTAGATACCGGGTACGTTGGGGTAACCACCAGATTGTTTCGAGACCAGGGTGGCTTCGGTGATGAGGAGGGTTCCCGGTACGCAAGCACGCTGGCCGTAGTACTGTGCAGCCATGGGCAGGATCTCATGGTCGTCGTTAACACGGAAACGCGTCAGAGGTGCCATGGCAATGCGGTTCTTGAGCTCCATGGCGCCCACCTTGAGCGGCTGGAAGAGGCGGTCTGCGGACATCTTGGTGTTGTGGGTGTTTGATTTTGGCAAGTTTGAGAGTTCGGACATGTAGGAAGATATTTAAGGAAACAAAAAACAGCAGCTGTGAGGGTTGAATAACAAGACTCCAGACGGATCAAAAAGGCTATATACGCCCCTACTAAGCACACCCCGTCCGATGGTTTGAAATCAGCGCTCGGTCGATCTCGGCATTTGCGCGGTATTTGGCTCGTAGAATTTTCCAAGGCGTTCCACGCCGGTGTAGACCCTGACGGGCATCACCCTAAAGACCATCTAGTCTTTAGGTGGTAAAGTGTGCCCGCATACAGATATGTAGCCGCTGGGAGCGAGATGGTACCTGGACTTAGTGGGAGACGGAACTTGTTGGCGGGAGCGGCGGTATCGCCGAAACCTTCGGGCCTATGACGTAAGCTGCATTGGCGTGGATCGCCAAACTGAAAGAGCGAAGGCCGACACTTCATTGCATGTGTTGGCAAACACCATCTGGACTTGGAAGGAAGTAGAGCGATTGATTGTAAGAAATTACAACAGTTGCGCGAGAATGGATCCCGAGCACGCTAGAGCTGACTAACATCATGTGCGCTTGCTCCTCTTAGAATCTTTTGCGCCCTGCGCAGTTGCTCTTCCAAATCCTCATACCAAAGCCACCGAAAGTTCTCATTAAGCTTCTGCTCGAGCTTAATCATATCATCTTCTACCCCTTCCACCATGAAGTTGTATGCTAGACCATTTTCGATACTCCTCTGAATACATCCCTGTGTTCTAGGTCGTCTGACAGCATCATAGGCCTTGAAGGCAGCCTCAATATTATCAGAACTTCCGACATCAGCTATCAAGCGACTGAGGAGAAATGCATCTTCCATAGCCATGCCAGCTCCAGCTCCCATGTGAGGCGTCGTGGCGTGTGCGCTGTCACCCAGTAGACACATACGACCCTTGAAATATGGCTTATCGTGTTGAAGAGTGTGTAGTGCCCATTTAGATGGTAGAGTATGTTTCGCGATAAGATCGATGAGTGGCGGATAAAAGTCTTTAAACTTTTCACGGACCTCGTCCGCACTCGTGGGTACTATCCAGTCATCCTGGTCCCAAGTGCTGGTGAGGGATCGATCGTGTGGCATGGCAACCATGTTGATGAGTTCGCCATGGTCGACAGGGTAGGTGATGCAACTTCCTCCATAACCACAGTACAATGTACCGTTCAGTGCCCTTTCTTCTCCTAGCGCTTTCTTAACCACTTCAGCTGGGGCCATAGCCCTTATCGCGGCCTCGTGAGCGTACGCTGGCTTCACATCTGGACCACAGACAAAGCTTCGTACCTTGCTCTTGATGCCATCGCAGCCAATGAGTGCACTGGCTAGAGTAGTCGTTCCGTCGGCGAAGCTTATCTTGAGCATACCAGCACCCACTTCTTCGACACTCTGGAAGCTTTTGCCGAAGCTTGTTATGTCCTTGGGAAGCAACGCAACCATCTCATCAAGCAGACGTGCCCGGTGTATTCTACCTCGCATACAGAACCCAGTGGGCGCATCTGGTGTCTTCTTGGCGTCAGCCTGATGGAAACCGAGATCTCCAGCTTTGGCTCCATTGGGTCGTCGCTCGTCCATACCCCATCTGATCGTGTTGAAGGTGTTTTCGCGTTCAGGGTCTGTGTTTATCGTGGCGTGTTTCATGTAGCCTTCCAGCAGTCGAGGATCGATAAGGTGCAATGCAGTCGTGGCGTTAGCACCGAATCCAACGCCGGCACCTATTTCCGC